TTTGGGAGGACATCACATTCTGCAAGCATGAAAGCAGGTGTTAATATTTGAAAGACAGTCATCTTTGAAATGTCATGGTCTCAAACATTTACCTGCAACTTCCAATTCAAAAATCCATGTTGGTTACCATTTGGTCCTGAAAGGCAAGCGTTAGTTATCAGGCATTGGTTTAAACAGGCATTTAGGAGAATGACGTTTGAAGCTGTGCACATACCTTGGAGAGTACCTGGTGTTGGATTGTCGATACTTTGCTCGCTGGTAGCTGTTTCTGGACTGGCTTATATAGCTTTGAGCGAATGGTTCACTCACTCTCTGGGGAGCCAATGCTTTTCTGGGGCTAGAAACTGGTTTTGGCATCTTTCCATAATTTAGCTTTGCCTGTTGGGCCCTTTCATTTGCTGGGTTCTTGGGGAATGAGGGCCCTTTTGGTGGTGGAGCAGATCCTGTTGAAGTCCCCTGGCCCGCAGCTTGACCATACCCTCCTGCAGTATTGGAAGTATCAATATTCTCAGATGGATATTGAAAGACGTCGTCAAAAACAAGATGAGGGATGTTCCTTGAGCCACTTTCACGGGAGCCAAGGTTGATGTTCTGGTTAGCCAAACTAGGACCACTGCTTGCTGGCTTAGGCTGCCACGACTCAACGCTTGGAAACTTTACAACATTGGATGTGGAAGATGGTGCAGGCTTAAAGGCGGCTTCACGAGTAAACTCAACAGCTGGATAAGCAGGAATACCATTTGTAGAAGGACTTTGCTGAGAATTTGCAGGAGCAGTCAGAGGGTAGTTGGAGCTTAAAGGAAATTCAGGTGGGTTTTCAAGGCTTTCCTGGCCCCATTCTGTTGAGCCGCCATTAATAAGCCCATCTACCGCTGGAGCACGTTGTGCGTTAGTTGAGGTGTGGCTGAACCAGAACCAGGTTGTTGGTAACTTGGGTCTTCATAATATGGATACCCATACCCTGTAATAGTAACAATTTAAATTACAGAATATATTCCTTCAGCCAAATGTGCCAATCGAGTTAAGTCACATTACCTCTTGAAATTGGTAATCCTACAGTGAAATCACACAGCAACAGACAAATCCAGGAAACTCTGCAAGTAAAGAAGAAACATGCAATTTAAAATATGTTCAAGATAATTGAAACAAATGAAGTAAACATCAATCAAATATACCTGAAAAGTGGTCCAAGAGCCATGACTGTAAGCTAAAAAGCAGCACACCTTACTCTTCAGAAGCTATGGTTTGAGACGAGCAGCTCACTGGGTCTTACTGGAGTTGAGAGTAACCTGTGTATGGTTAGAGAGCCCTCTGTGTCTCTTTTATATCCAGTTCACTTAACGAAGCCCATTGGCAGCACCTGGTCCCAGGGCAATCAGAGACCAAACCATGAACAGGTGTGACAGCTGGACAAGTCCTTCCATTGTTTCAGTGTGAAAGTTATCCTTTCCAACTCTGTTATACTGAAACGTTTTCTAGTTTTGCTTTCTTGAACAACACTTTTTTCTTCTATAAACACATTTCCTTACATTTGACCTAGCATTTTTGCGAATTGTAGCAGCCAGAAGGCTTGTAATTGACCTAATGCTTCTACAGGGAGTCAGTGTGCCCTGAAACCAACACCATGTTGCCAACATCTTTGCTAGTATAACATTTACCCCTAAACATCTGATACTGTGGCAGGAGTGAAAGGTAAGGGAAAGGGCTAGGAGTGAGGGAGTGAAAACAAATACTTTAAATCCAGTTTAGATCATAACAAGGGCACTTGTACAACACATTAAAACAACAAATATAATGTAAAAGTTATGGAACTTATATGTTTATTGTTTGATGCCTAATAGAAGTCAGATAGCTTTGTTACATTTACATTGTTCCCCCCCCATTTGCATATTTGCAAGTAAATAAATAAATGCATGGCTCTAATTCTTCACACTTTCTCTGACAAGATTTTACAGCTTAGAGTAAAAACTACCATATATTGAAAAAGGCTTTATCATCAGTTTCAGGAGGGCCCAGTCCGTAGAGCTGATGTGCATTTTGGAGGTATCTCAAAATTGGTGGAATGAGCAGAAGCAGAATAGGAAAATAAATACTTTACCAAACAATCCTGTTGCTCACTGCACTACAGTGACGATGAACTCACTAGGCTAGTGTGAATCCATCCTGTGCACACTAGCCTATATTTCTACCAAAAATATAGACACGTGTCATTTACATGGGAACATTTATTATGGATATTTTAAACTATGTTGCGCTGGTTTTCATGCATGTATACAAGGGATAACATTGCCTTGAGATTACAATTCATGTTCCTTTTTTTCTGAATGGCGATACATTTTTAATTCCTCTTGAGTACAGGGGCTTAATTGTCTGACAGGGGGAGCTTGACCACGAAAGCATCATAAAAGCGAGCTGAAAGATACATGTTCTTGGATATACACAGGATGTTAGATGTTTTTCATTTCCTGCAGTTTTCTTAGAATTTCTGTACATTAAATGTAATCTACTTTATATTCAGTCACTGTAGCGACCCTACAAGCTGTGACTCACCACGATATAATCAAGAACCTTGTAAAAAGTATACCTTACAATTCACTGTCCACAGAACATTGGTTAGTGTGTATATTTGATATGCATGCAGTGTTTTCTTTGGCTGTGACATGGTTCACTGTGGAGAATATGCAAAAGTGATACATCCTGTCATATGGACATGCTGAGTTAAATCCCATACACCCATTACAATTACATACTCAACTTGGACGTCACTACCCTTTCCTTTCCTCCCTCACGCTGTGCATATTATACAGTATTTCCTTTAGTCCCACTCACTCTCATTGTGTGTTGGTTGTACTTTTTTTTAAACAAATTGTGCATATACTGTTTGAAAAAGGGAACACAAAAAAGTCTGTTTATCCTAAATCTTATTAAGAAGTAAATGTTATATTAATTTAATTAATTAAGATTAGAAGCCATATTTAAAAAAAGTTAACCATGACTTCTTGTGAAGAATGCTAATTGAACTTAAAATGTTTCAACCTATGGTTTCAACGCATGTATATGCCCCTTGCCACTGCAGAATTACCTTTTTTTTTCTAAAACTATTACAATATAAATATATTGAAATTATTGTCTGCACGTTATTTGTAAAAGTGAGATGATTAGCCGCATGTACAACGTATGTATTAGGTTAATAGATGTCGTGATTTTCTCCCCATTTGTCAAAATTGGAAAATATTCACAATGGAACCACCACATCTCACCGCATACCCACCTTTTAGGAATCCCCAGAGTGATTGATGAGTGTTTTCATTGAGTCAAAGGATGCAGAAATAAATTATAGGTTGTTGTGTTGCAATTATGCACGGCAGATAGATGGAGGCGTTCAGCACTTCTTGCTCCATGTGTAAGTCCTATTTTAATTCCTTTTTTGACATGAGAAAGGATAACACATGAACACTGGAGTCAAATCCAAATATGAGTTGACACAAATATATTTTAATTACATTTCAAGTTTGACTTGTTAATTCCCAAAGGAAAACCATTCCTCTATGTCACAGAACAAGTGGTGTGAGAGAGTGTGAGTGAGTGTGTTTCAGCAATGGATCGTTTGCCACCATGTTGGATGCTCTGCTCTCCCCCCCTTACTAGCCTTTGAAATGGAGCGTCTGTGGAAATGACTGTGCCATCTGGAGAGTTGAGAAGCCATAGCTGCAAGGAGAGCTATACGTCTGGACACTAGAAAGCCAAGAGATGGAGGGAGAGGCGGTTGGGAGTAGAAAAAAAGACAATTGAGAGGATATAACAAAGTAGAGAGTGTGGAAAGAAGCTGAGGAGGAAGAAAAGGTGAACCCATACATATAAGACTACATAAACACAGGAGGATTTGCTATTGAATGGGTGCAAGTGTGAGAGTGTGATGGATGATGAAGTCAAAGAGGCCTTTTACACATTCTGGCTTCTTGCTGCAGAGTTTTGGCAAAGATAAAGCAAACAGTGTGACTACTCAGAGCAGATAAAAGAGAGCAGAGTGAAAACAGTTGAGGGTATTATGTCTAAGTGATGACAAAACAGGTTGTAAAATGTGGCCAAGTTTGTAGGGTATGCTAAAAATCAGATTTACTTAAGCCAGTTATAGAATACTTTTTGTCTGGCGGCAGCAGTAAGGTTGTGAGCATTGTACTGATATGGTGAACTTGACAGCAAACTGCCTATTTACACATCCAGAAGCAACATTTCATTATGTCGAGTCATGTTTCATGATGAATGTTAATCTACTATCACTAAATGTTAGCTTTTTGTTGGTGTAGCGGCCAAAATCATATAGAAATAAAACAGATAATTAACTTAAAATAATACAGCCGCTGAGGCACTAGTTAGCGGATCTTACGCAGGGCAATGATCCAGGTCCAGACAAGATTCTCCATTTGTGCAATTTATTCCAATAACAAAAGTACAACGAACAGGTTTTCTATATCCCTTTTCCTTAAGCCTTTCCTATGGCTTTCCTTTTGCTGGCTTGAAACACCCTGGTAAAAAACCTTTTGCCTACTAGTGATCTGGCTCCCACCACCCACCTGTCTCCAATATATACAATTACACCAGGTGCTCTAATCACCCAGTGCCCAAAACATGCCTTCAAAATAAAAGCATAGAAACTACTTTAACTTATGAAGCTAACTAAGAATACATATAAATAAATGATAATAATAAACAGCAAGAAAATAAATGTTAAACTATTAAATAATATAAAGAGATATATAGCTCCAACAGTTGGTGTCTACCCACGTCAGAGGAAAATGTATGTCCCTTCAGTCTATTACGTTGTAAGACAAATCCCTTTAAAGTCAGTAAAATGTAGGTTACATTTCCGTTATCTTAATTAATGTGAGAGTTTTAAGTCAAGGTTTAAGTGATTTCATATCAGATCATGCAGCGAATACAGAGTCTAAAATGACTGTAGGCCTGCACTACACACCTCCTCCACGCATGTTGGTTAGATCAGCAGGAAGATAATGAGGGAGGAATGAACACATTAGAAAACAACCACGCTGTGTTTGGAGATAAAAACTACATGTTTGCCAGTTGACATCCTACTTGAAGCCCTAAGTCATACTTTGGCCTTTTTTAGAAGAGTGTATTTTTTACCAGGAAAAAGAGAGGTTTAGACACTCCTATGTTTCTTGACATGTCCTTGTATATACAGTATAGAAAGAGATAACACAGGGACACTGGAGTAGATCATAGAAAAGGTATGTTTTATTAATTGTGTTTTTTAATAACCCAATAGGTGCAAGTGAAGATAAATTGTTCTGTAGTCCTTGACAGTGCATATAATAATTATTTTCTCCTAACTAAACATCTCCCTTTGTAGACATCCAGTATTTAGCTTGAAGACATTTCAGAAGGCAAAATGTTTGCTGTCTGTTTGCTCCCTATGCGTGAATCATCTCCATGTTGTTTGGTGTTCTTCTTAAGTCCGCTCTCTGCTTCCATGGTGACATCTACGTTACTGCAACCAGCCTAGTCTGTTGTTGTGTTTCGAAATATATTTGCATACCTAATGCAGCCAATATGCCTACTATCGTTTCCAACCCAGTGAGTATTTACTTCTTCTCAAGTGATTACGATGAGATCTTTATCATGCGCAGAGATGATGGTGTTGGGGGTAAGCTGCTCCCCACTCTCTGGGACATTTGTTACCCCTGTGGGTGACATCATGTATGTGTCAGTTAGCATGACGATGGCTGACACATGTCTCCAAATAGATTGTCACTGAGCCCTAATGGCAGTGTAGGTGTTGAGCCAATCACGTCCTCCGCTCAGAATGCAACAGTGGACCTCATTAACCAATCAGTGAGCAGAAGTGTGGGGGTTTGAACACATTAGAGTAAAAGCCGGGTAACTCCTCATGGGAAACCCCAAACAAGAAATTATGCAACTGCTCCTTTCAAGTGACGCCGTGCTTTGAGTGTAAAGATAGCTTTGATATGTTTAATTAAATCCTTCTAAGATCTATGCCTTGTTGCTTTTTTTTTGGAAAATTATGAATCTCCTGCCCACATTGTGGGTGTTTTCTCTCGGCAGTTTTCAACCTGCCACATTAGTTGGAAATATTATTATTTTAAAGCATTGCTCTGTATTATTAAATCACTTATAATAAGTTAAAATATGATAAAGTTAAATCTCATTAATCCTGAATGGAAGTCACTAAATTCGATTAAAACTCAAACCTTGAACTATCTGAAAAGTATTTCAAATGGTAATCCAAAGGTAATTACAGCCAACATGAGGTTCAGAACGTGAAAAAACGAGAAAATCAAATGCTTAATCATGCTTTATTCGTAGCAGATCCCTATAATGTATTTTGAATCAGTCTCAGTACAGTAAGAGCAAAACATCAAAACTACATGATTGATTTTAAAGTCCTGCAGCAATCCTTTCAGTTTCCCATAAACTTAATTGTGGATATCTATTGAAACGTATCAAGCTTATAGCATTAAATCGTATACTGTACATGTCAGCTTGGGAGGGACTCATTTATATAGGCTGGTTGAATGTAGAGAAATCACTGACACTTTATATACATAAAAAACCCTCTCCCTGCTGAACGACATTTATTCCACCAAGAGTGGAAGCTTAGCTGGCCAGGATAATTATGTGTAATTCTGCCTCTGCTTGCCTCTGCTCCACTTTCAAAATGTCCCTTTATACTATAGACTGTTGCCCCCTCCTCTTCTCTGAATCCCTTTCTTCTCCCTCCACTCCTCAATCCTCATAGCAACACAATGTACCATCTCCATTTTGTTATATGTTCACAGCTCCTCTTTTGTGTTTTAATGTTATCAGGTTGCATTTTGAAACCACAAATATGCAAACCACAAGAAGGATTCCCAGTTTATTCAGTATAGATTAAATACTGTTTTAAATGTCAGCAGTTTCTCAGTCCTGCCTGTGAGCTTTACCAGCCACCAGTGTCGCAACCTGTCAAAAAGTATTGGCTCTTGCTCTTCTTTGTCTGCATTGGTGGCCTGTCGAATTGAATTGTAGAACCTTAACAGCCCGTGCCCTAAAGGGTTTTTGATGTGTGTGCCAGCTAGCACTCCCTAAAGACAGAGCAACACAAGACCTTGCTATGTGTCAATATAAGGGGATGTCACAGTCTAGGTGCTAGACTGTGCTCTCATTTAAAACTCCTCACTGTAAAGAGGAGATAAGGAGGAGAAAGGAGGATTAGGGAATTGATGACGGTGGTGGGAAGTGGAGAGGAGATGTTTGCTTGAGATGTTTGTAGATGCATTTTTGTGGAAGGTTCGCTGTAAGTCCTTGCGTTTGCCATGACAGCTTCATATTGGGTTCTGTTAACGTTTTTCCAGTGTGAAGAGGCAGAAATTCTTCATCTAAATTACAACTTTAAACACACACCAAAATATAGCTGGGATTTTTTTTCGTTGTCATTTCTAAGGATCTATGTCTATCGTGCTGTTATTGGGGACCACTACTAGGGCTGTGTGATGTGAAAAAATCATATATTCCAATATTGTTAAAGAAATATTGTGAAAATAATGTAGACATGGCCATAGATGTATCACAAAAATATTTACACAATGAGCAGTTATGTGGATATTGTTGACAAAGTGGGTAAAGGCAACTTTGGTAAATACATAAATCTAAATATTTTGACTATAATTTATCATTCAAAACCAGGAAAAGAAAACCACGATATTTTCAGTATCCAAAATCTGAGATGTTATCATAAAAACAACAAAAAATGCTCGGAGTGCTTGGGGGAGCCTCTGGCCAGAAAAATGCATTGTTATTAGGACATAACAGCATACTTCTCTTCATAATTTTCTTCATATTTAATGGCAAATTTTCTGCCAGCATGGTGTTCCAGGGTTACCATAGTTACAGTGCAAAGCCCTAATTGCCAAATTTCTGCTCACCAACCATTGCTGAGCTTGACCCTTTAACCCATATCATAAAACTGGGACTTGGCACCACTTCCTCAGCTTCCTATTATACTAATAGAATGGGTCTCAGTTAGGGGTGTAACGGTTCGGTACGGGTTCGGTACAACAAGAAAAAGAAAAGTCCCAAATGCATAATTCCAGGTTTGTTCTTATTTATTTTTGAACAGTAGTGCAAGTTTCAGTATAAAAATAAGGAACTCTAACATTTTGAATAATTAACGGTTTTACAAAAAAAAATCATAGCAATTGAAATATATATGCCAATAGCTTTCGTTATTTCTTTTGGTCTCTCGGCTTTCATGTCTATTGGCTTCTTAAAAACAGCGGGGATAAGCTGTTGAACTGCTGTTGTCTTTTGCCGGGCTCCGTGATTGGCAAATCTGGCTGATGCCTTCTGATATGATTTAGCATGTTTGGCATGCGTTACCATTAGGATACCGCACCGCTGTCAACGCCGACTAACCTTCCTTGTCCGATCCACCACTCGCACTCCATCGTTACTGAAGTCCACAGGGAATCGAAATGTTCCCACACAGCTGATTTAAAATAAGCAGGTGGTTCCAGACCATTTCATAGCCAACTCACGACAGACTTTTCCCCCATTGTCGGTGCAGCAGTGACCGCCACAAGTGCAATATTTTCTGTCTTAGCAGATCATGTCACAATGTTGTGCTTGCATAACACAATGTCATCTGGTGACATTAAAAGGGGTCTTTTTGGAGGCTTGGCAGCATTACTCAGCGGAGAGTGGGAAGTTAATTGTCATGGGAGCTGCTGTGTGTTTTTGCTGAGACACAATGCAGTGTCATGAGATGACATGCTGTTCCCACATAATCTGTGTTTTAACAAACAAAGGCAATAGGAGCAGATGGAGGGCTTGGAGGGAGGAAATATGTTGGGAGAGAGAGAACCATGGAGTTACTGGAAGGATGGGTGATGCTACCCTCGAAAATGTGTTTGCTTTGTTTTTGGTGTGCATAAACCACAAAACGTGAGAAGTCACAGCAATGTTAATTAATCATTTTGTTTTATTATAAAGGCAATAAGAACAGAGAGAGAGCCATGACTTGTTACATGATGCAACAACTAGCAGCTGGAGAGTTACCTCAAACATGTTGACAACCTTATATCACACTGTTTGAGCATCTGTTGCAATCGGTCCATTAAAGAGCAGTAGTTATTAGCATGGTTTAGAAGGAGCATGCTCTACCTTCAAGACGATTCAGAAGCTTTTATCATCTACTCATAAGGTTGGTCATCCATACAAATTCAAGAAAACACTAACCTCTTTGGCTGTAGTTACTATTAGTTGGAAATGATGAGGTCTTTGTATAAAGGACGACAAAGTGCATATAGGGGTGAGGTCATCGTGTATGGATTTGTTCATAAACACAGGACTTTTACTCTAGAGACCAGTGTCCACTCAAGACTCTGATTATCTAGGTACAGAACAAATAGTCCTTACTGACTAATCCAAACCATAAACCTAAAACAAGCTGAAGTTGAAGTTTAAACTTACATATAAGGACATGTTTAAAACTATGCCTGTTAAGTTTCATTTGAGCAATGCCCAGGTAGTTGCAATGGCCCATTTTACCCCATTTGAAAATGTTTAATGGCAGTGATAACACATTTTAGTGACCATATTTATTATAAACAGTTTGTCGCCGTATTTATCTTGGATTCAAATTGACCTATGTACATGCTGACACAGTGAGCTGATAGTACAACATATTTTAAGGGAGCATTTTTCTTAAGCCTGTGCTCTCAGCAAAGTTGACAGCATGTTAAACCTTTACTCCTAATACATAGTTCACCTAAGATTTTTATCACAGCACAGATTAGAAGACCTGCTTTCCAGTGTCAGATATTTATCCCTATTGGTTGTTTAAACCATCGGTTGCCATGACAGTATGAAATATGTTTAGTGTAACTTCTTGTCTCAAACTCAAGGTTAATGGATCTATGATATAAGTGTGTATTTTTGTGTTACACTGCACCATTCTCCTCGGGGGAATTTAGAGCATGAGTGCTCACCAGACTTCGTGTCACACACTCCAGCTATGTTTAATGTATTCTGCGATGATTACACCCACGACTATTTTAGGAATGGTTTAAGTCAGAGGTATCAGCCTTGACCCACATAAGGTGAACACAATGTGCACTCAGGAGGATTCTGAGCTCGCTGGGTGTGTGATTTATGGCATGGATGTAACAGTGCAGAGTCTTCAGGTATGATGCTCCAGGTACCAATGACCAAAAAGCCAAATCTAAGATGGGTTTCCATTTAGTAGGCCTTCTCCTCTCAAAGATTTAATATACTCTGCATGCGTACATACGTGCTGTAGATTCCTCTGGGAAGGTCATAGTAGAATGAAAATCAATAACCATAATATAGTGTCATCACAGCTTTGCTTTTACAAGAACTATGTGTTCTATTTATCACACATTACAGGTGGCCGCCATGATCCATTTTTATCTTAAAATATGTTTAGAAAAACAAACTCTGCAGTGTTTAATTGTAGCATCAAAAAAAAAAGCCCTTCTTTTGTTTTTCATTAAAACATGTTGTCTATAGAACGTAAAAAAAGCAACAATTTATTTAATTGACTGTCTATTTTTTTATTTTCCTATCCTAGTTATTTTGAGTCAACTTATAAAGATGACACCTTAATACTTGAGCTGTACTGTAGCCTTCTGTAAATAAAAACAAGTCGTAGGGTGAAGAGAGACGAATGCAACTATAAGGAAAATCAGAGAATGAGTGGCTGAGATGGACAGATTGGACTTTCCCAGCCTCACAGTAATATTTGTGCTATTTCCATGCAAGGACAAAGATGCAGGGAGACAAGGGGAGAGAGAGGGAGAGGCAGAGAGTTAGAAAAATGTGTGTGCCAGTTTTCTGTAGCGTGTGTTCCTTCCTGCTCCTGGGGTGCAGTGCGTGTGTGAGTGTGTGTGTGAGTGTGTGTTGTGCAGTTTGAGGGTCACTCAGTGAGAGACTGCAGGGCAACTCTTAGTCATCCTCACACCTCGCTCCCTTTTTACCTGACTGTCCATCTGTCAACGTATTTACCACCAGAAACAGATTTCATGCTGTAAACAAATTCAACTATTCAAATGTGTACTTATACATAAGGTCACAGAAAACACTACGTTTTTGGAAGTGTTAATGAGTGTGGTATTGATTCTGAAGCTCGAAAGCTCTGAGCAAAGGAAAAGATACTTGTAAAACTTTAATGATATGCTGTTTTTTTAATTGTTGTCAAAGACATCACAATCTCTTTTTAGGGTCTGTAGGGAAATCACATTTAGCCTACGAATGTCTTGTTCATGTGAACCAGTTAAATAGTTTAATGATTTAATCTTAAAATCATGTAATTTAAAGGCAGCTTAACCACATTAAACCACGTGAATTCCAGTAGGAATTATCTTTGCTTTTTTTATCTACAATAATCCAACATTTAGCTTCAAAGAACGAGTCAGAATAAGCTCAATTATTCTGGGAAAAACTGAGTTTATTCTCTTTATACCCAACTAGCTCTAAATATTTTTATATGATGCATTTTGTCCTCAAAATGTGTCTTTAATGTATGTTTTTTCACTTATCTTGTATGTGGACTTAGATTAACTATAAATAGGTTCACCACATCTAAAGTAGATTTCATATTTATGGAAAGTATGCATGATTTGTTATATCCCCGATGCATAAAAGCCCGTTACACAGCAAAATATATGCATTAATGTCATCTGCTACTGCCAGCTAATGAACTACTGTGATAATAACTGAGACTTGATGCTGTTAAGATTTCCTGGAAATTCTCTAGGCAGACATTAAAGGTGATTAAACACAAACAGTGAAGACCTCTCTCACACACACAATAGTTAAGTGTGACTTCAGATGCCTGTGTTTCTAGGAGGCTGCTAATAGACTAGAAGCTGCTTTGGAGGTGAACTACTGGTTACTGTGAACTCTCTTTCAGATGTTATTAAAAGCTTGTATGGAAGCAAGGTTGTTTTGCAGATGTAGCTATGTTTCTGAACACATTAATGAACATGCAAACCTCTTCTTTTATAGCCTGTTTTTGTTGTGAATGCATGCATAGACAATCACCAGTGCATCAATACTCTCACCTTTTTCACACTTGTGGGGGAAGACATGAGGGAGGACAGGAGATGGAGACTGTCAAGTCCGAGGTTTCTAATTGAAGGTGTCATGGTCGGGTCTCCTCCTCGTCTTTCCCAGCCTCCTTGCTCTGCTCGAGGCAAATATAGCAACAGGCACCACAGGGGAGAATCCGAGGTTTGCTACTATGTTTTTTTTGGCATCTTGTAAAGTAGAATGGAAGGAATTTTATCTTTTCATCTGTTATTGTTTACGGGGTCCCACGGATATAATTACAAGGAGGAATCTTTCTTAGTTTCTGTGCTCTCTGTTGTTTGTGTGTCACATTTGGCAACTTCCTTTATTTCACTCTCATGTGTTTCATGACGATGCTTCGACAGAATAGTGAGTGAAAGCCAAAATATTACTTGATTAGATTATAACAGTCTATCAATTAGGCTTACAGCTTAATAACTAAATGAATTAAACCATTATTCAAACTGTTATCCTCGCTGCCCTTAAGGATATGCATGGTTTTGAGGGGGTGGCAGCGTTTCTCACCAACTGTGTTGTTGTAATATTTGAAAGCCTGCATTGAAGCAATAGATCCTGAGGTTTTAATTACTTCAGGAGCACAGCAGTATGGCCAACAAAGCATAAAAACATACAAATAACTTTGACTATTCAAGTGATTAATCCTAATTAGATGCACTTTTTATCTTCAGTCATCACTTTAAGACATTTATATTGCTCTAAATATCTATTCATACTATCTATAACCAGTAGTTTAAACGTGATATATTTTCTAAATGATGACACATTTCTCTTGTTCGCTATTCAAGCCAGAGGGAGGAAATGCTAATGCTGAAACCAGAGAGCTCAGTTGTTATGCATCCTAAGGGATCATGAGGACTGTTGCTGGCATGCCTTCTTAAAGAGTGAAAGAGAAGGTGAAGCTCAGTTTACTGCTCGTTGACCTTTGATAAGTCTCCTTTTACCTTCATTTAACTATGCATTCAAGGCTAAAGTATCAGCTAATTACAAGAGAGACTCACCGGTCCTATTTGGCTGTCATACTGCACCTACTTAGAGCACAAGGCAGTCGGGTCAGCCCTCTGCAATAAAGCACTTATCATTAATATGATAGTTACGAGGAAATACAAAACCACGTTTAATGAAATAAACATGTAGTCAAAAGATGAATTGTAAGATAACAATCAAACTGAATAAACACATAAAGACATTTCTGCTGAGTACAACTGCAACCAACAATCATTTTTGCTAACAATTAATTTAGTCATTTGGGCTAAAACATGTAAGGAAATTGTGAAAGAATCAGCATTTCCCAAAGCATTAGCTGACATTATTAAATTGCTTGTTTATAACAACAACA